CTAGGAATAGGCCATATCCATAATGGATTGTGTGTTCCCGTATCATTGCTTCCCTGGGCCTGTAAGCAGCTGTCAGTCTTCAGAACTGAGCCGTGTTCATATAACAGAGCTTTTTTTCTCACACTGAGGTAAACGGATACAGTGTTTGTTTTATCGAAATCCAATCTACACACTCAGAGATACACGCGTAGCAATAATGTGTGTATTTAGCCTGTCGTAATTTTAGACTTAAACACAGAAGACATTTCTGTTCTTTTTGTGGGAAAAAACCTGTCTATTTCTCCTTTACTGATGCAATGAAACCAAACTTCTGAGGTGTTCCTCTTAACCTGCTGCAGGAATCTCTCCCGCTGGTTAACGCAGCGGGGGGAGCTTTTTCTTCTATTTCTTGCATCAAAACCAAAGTTTGGACTTGAGGGATAATTCTACATCAGATTTGATAATAGACATCCAGAGAATCTCCAATGAGAAGCATATTAAATAGAACATACCACCTTTTACACATTCATACTGTTTGATGTTTGTATTTTTGAAGATGTTCTATTTCATCTTTATAGATTTTGTGCTTGTCAGTATCATCTGAAATCTTTAGATGTAAGAGGACTATTAGATCTTAGTGGAGAAAATGAACATGATAACATCTGGATTACAGTGGGTTTATATTTTTACCTTTAAAGCGCAGAAGATGCACGAGTCCTCCATGCACTTGTGAGTGGTCAGCTGTCGGAAGCTTCTGCGAAAGATGTCGAGATGCCACAAAACCTGAAAGATCAAAGAAACGGTGGTTTATTTGTTGAGCAAAAGGTTGTTGCATTCCTTTTTATTTAGTTCTGTCAATCTGTGTCCCAGATAACGACAGACCAATCTTGCTTTAATCTTTGCTTTAATTGGATTTTGATGGTACTGTTTACATCTTCTTAGTATGCAGCATTTATTTAATATAATTTATCTTGTAAAACTCTAAAGTTCTGCTGATTCAGGAAAAAAACGGCCAGTTACATTGCTTGTCTGAGATGTTGAATGAATAACGGTTTTGAGCAAATATGAGATTAAAAAATGAGAAAAATAAGTATTCAGATAGGTGGAGGTTTGCTTTGTCTCTCACCTTTGTCACGCCCCTGTGTCAGCTGAGCTGTGAATACATGTGATGTCTATTTAAAGCGTTGGGGTTATTTTGGTTAAAGATGCATCATCCCAGTTTTGACTCGAGTCTTTACTCGTGAGGTTCACTAAAACACAGACATGGTCGATTTAAACTCCTCACCTGGAGGAGTTTCTGCTGCCTGTTAGAAACGCTTGCTTCTATAAGGAATCTGTTTGATTATGTTGGAGCGCAGCGTTTCCATAGTGACGTTACATACCTTCTGGTTATTTTTGAATGTGCTAAAGCAGTCAGAAAAAGCCACCGAAGGCATGAGTAATTGCACAGTCAGAAAGGAAAGTTATGGTGATTTGTTTCCTTTACAGTTAGGCTAATAAGTAAGATAAAGATCTAAACAGCCTGCTTGAAAACCATTTACAACATTAAGGGTGGTACTCAGTTCACAGTTTGAAATAGAGCTCAAAAGCCAAACAAAGGTCCCATTATCTTCTATGCTGGCTTTAAATGGGATGTTGCTACTTTTCAATATATTTATTTCAAATTTGAGCTCAAAGAGGCAGTTAGCGGTTGCAGCAAGGAACCCATCTGTTACCTTTGTACTGTGTGGCTCAGGTATTGCCATGGCAACTTCAGCCTCATTTATCAGCCTTTGTGTGGAGCCTTCCTGATTGGTCTTGATTGATCTCACTTCCACAGTGGAGAAATTGTGCCGCAGACCTAGTGTCTGTGCTAAAGTAAACTAGGGGATGTAAGAATCGAGCTTAATGTTTTCAAGTAAATGGATTCACTGATTTCAATTCAGCTCTATTCATACATTCACAACTTCTCTTAAGGATACAATGCTTAGTAAAGAAACCAACTATTTCCTTTTGAACCGCACTTTCTCAAAACAAGATGCTCAAATAAGTCTGTAGTCGCTATAAAAAATCACCAAATCAAATGACTTCCTGTAACTTAAAATGGTTGCTGAGAATCAGCTCTGAAGTCTGCAGCTCAGTTTGGCTTCCAGCCATTTTCAGCTAATTGTTTTTCCCAACACCTCCCACTGAGCGTGCTCTCAGCTTTGTAAATTTTCAGCAATAAATGAGAGGCAGAGGCAGAAGTACTGCAGGAGAGACAGACGGGGAAGCAGCAGAACAAAGCTCAAAGAGAGCATACGGAAAGAGCCTCCTCACCTTTCCAATCGCTCAATCTCATTTTTTTCGGGAAAAAAAAATATAGAGAGAGGAAAAGGTCTTCATGCGCTAAATCAGCATGCTGAAAGAACAAAACTGCCTCAAATGTCCCTTAGGCTGACTGACATCTGCAGAGCAAAGTGGACAAAACACACACACACACACTTTGGGAAGCACACGATACTAGATCCACAAGAAAGCAAAAGACAAACACACAAAACTAAGATGTGTGCGAACCTTCGAAATACAGGACTGCACTGTGTGAGTGTGTTAAGGAGAGAGTGATAAGTGGAGGAAAGATGGGGCAGTGGATGACGGACTGCATGCTGACGCCAGTATATGCATTCTATCTTTCCCTCCTCTCTGTTTCTCCTCCTCACTCTGGAGTTTGTTTGGTTGTGATGAATTGGCTCCCTGCACAGCACTGCAGCAGCCACAAGGAGGGCACACTCTCTCCATACCCATCCCTCTTTCTCAGCATCTACCCGGCTCTCTTCTCCTCCTCTAATAACATCCCTCTATTTCCTTCTCACCGCTTCTCTCCGCTCTTCTATCATTAGAGCCATTTGTTCCCTCGCTCCCCTCATCTTTTTCACTTCGGCTCATTTTCTTCCCCTCGGCTTGCGATCAGAGGAGGAACTGCGGGAGCCTCTTTACCCGCGGGTCCTCCAGCTGAAACGGTCACTTAAGTCGAACAAAAAAACAAAAAAAACAAGTTGTCGACGTGTGTAATGGAAGACGGACGGAAATGTTTAAGTAGGACTCCGACCCCTCGGATTCCTATTTGTGGTTGCGAGGCGTGTGAAGCTCTGGGCAACAAAGCAGGGTTCATTTCAGTCCAAAGTCCTTCTTCTAACTTTAAACTGTGGAGATGTGATCAAAGCAGCGGTCTACAGCAACCAGTCACTTCAGCCAGGAGATTAAATACTTCACAGAATGCACGAAAACAATGCGGATAAAAGATTTCATTACATTTGTTGAATTTTCCGGCCCAAAAGCGGATAAATAAAGTAATTATCGAAATGTTTGTGAACACCGAGATCATCTTTTTTAATGACTCGGCGTCAGCGGGCCTCTTCACGCTGAGGCGGCACATTGTTTTTCGGGGACACGGTCATTAGGCAAACAGTTTTGTTGAGCTTTTTTCATTAGAACTCTAAATACGCCAGCAGGTTTGCAATAAAGCGCGACTCGATTGTCAGGTAAATGTAGCATTTAGACCACATAAGGCGCATATATTTGTGCGTATATTTAATTTATTTCTGATTACTTCACATGTTTCTTTTGTTTGTTTGTTTCACCGTGTGGTTTATGTATTTATTTAATATCTAATGTGGACTCTTTTTTAAACATATTATTAATTTATTTATTTATTAGTCTATGGTCTATTAAAGCAAATTTAAGTTTTAGAAAGTACATTGATAATGATTTTATCTGGTCCTGGAGTTTTCTTCTAGCAAATATGCAACATTTTTAAGAAATAGATCATCATAGTGATTACTCTGTTCCTCAGTATTAGTTTGTTTGTTTTTGATTTAGTACACAGTAATTTAGTGCTTTTGGCTTGGAGGTGGATTGGTGGGGGTGGAGAGAGCGTAAGAAAGTCCTGGTTTTAATATGTCCACATACTGGCTCTGCTCCTGGGCTTCTGTAGCTCAGGATGTAGAGCAGTCAAAGGTGAGTGACCGCTGGACTTCACATCACCACTGAAACATTAAAGCGTTTGATGGACAAAGGCCTGTCCAGTCTGTCACCGGTGGCTTGATGATGCTGGTTTATCTTTTTTTTACTTCAAAGCCAAACCAATGATGTTTGAGTCAATAACTAATTCGATTTTTAAATGACTTTAGTTCTACATACTAAAAACAAGCGTTACATTTGAGCGAAGATTCTCCGGTAGGGGGCAGTAATTTCCAGAGTACAGTTAGTTTTACACTTAACTATCAATTTGTTTTCTCTACCCACTCTCACTTCCGGTCTGTTTGGGCAGGTTTGGGTATTAAGAATAACTCCAACACACCAGGGTTCTCCATGAAAAAGTCTGTCAGGCTGTCGCAGTGGTGCAAGCCGTGATGTCCGGATGAAAAACACGTCACTGTGACAGCTCTGTAAGAGGTTTTCCTCCTTGCCCATATCACGATTTCCTGACAAAGGCTGGAGTTTTGAGCTGGGATGGAAAAGTCACGCAAGTTATCAACAGTGATGACAAGCCATCATTCCCACCGCCTGCATATTGTTGTTTGCAACATCGTGACATAAAAAATGGCAAGATTAGCGTGTAATGCTGATGTGACTTTTCTATTCTTTTTTCTATCCTATTTCTATTTCTATTCTTTATCTTTTTTCATGGCTCAGTGTGGCTGAGGGTGATTAATTCATCCACATCTGACCCTGGGATGAATGCTGGTTTTTCTACGGAAAACAAAAGGCTGCTAGCTGCGTTTTCATCCAGAGTGAAAAAGACTTTCAGTGTATATATGGTGTCTATTTAGTGCTCGTTATGAGTTGATCTCATCAATGGTCAGTGAGAATCAATAGACTAAATGATTAAATTCTATTCCCTTCTGTGACTTAAAGCTTCGTGGATCTAAGGATGCAAATCATAAAGGATATGTTCAAAGATTAATTCGGTTAAGAGGTCTTAGAGATTTTTCTATAAAGCCTAAACAGAACATCACAACACATTTAAAGAAAAATGGAGGCATTAATTATGAATGTATTAGTGACTGATGTTTGAAATATTTGCATAAATAGTAAATTGCTCATACGCTGACATCCATATGAATCCATCAGCTTGAATTATTCAAACAAAGCATAGCAGACACATAAAACCATGTTGCTGTTTATATTTGTATTTGCATAGGCATTTTAGCATGGGCCATGCTAAGTCACTTCAACATTTAGATTCAAGTTCCTTTTCATGCTAAATTAGCCATTAGCTCCAGACTGCAGCGTATGCATGTATATAAATCACCAAAAAGATTATTTTAAAGCAAGTTCTCCCTTTAACATTGAATCGTTTGGGAAGCTGCCCTCTAATGTAAGCCTCTTAACGGACACAATAAAGCAGATCATGACTTCACATTTGAGGCAAACTGCCAGAAAATGGAAGTTAAATCAAAAGCAGTACAATCCTAACCGAAAACCTGCTGGAAACAGCGTTTGTGTCCAGAATTGTGTTCTTTCATTTTGAATTTGGCCTCACCGAACAACAAAAAGATGTGCATGTGAACTGACTTAGTAGTGGGGGTAGCCATGCATGGTCCTCTGTCCAATCTGTCCAATCCTGCGCAATCCTCTACAGGATGAAGTAGATATAACTATAGAATGTAGGCTCAATGGCGAGCCCTGAAGCTAACTAAAGAAGCATTTTTACCTCTAAACTGTTTTGCTTTGTCACATAATGGAAACTCACTTTCCCTCTCTAGCACTGTTCCATACTGCAGGAGACTGCAGCTTTGCATAAATTACTTCACACAATCCAACTCAGAATCGATACAGCAATATCTGCTGGGACTTTATCCATACAGAAGAAGAGCGCGCGCACATGTTAAGAAAGTGTGCTAATAAACCCAGCTTTTAAACTTTGAATGAACTAAATGACTGTTAACTTATTATGGCAAAACACTAAAGGAAACGATTGGAGCTGAGTGAGATATGGATTAACCTTACCACTACAAGACAACATCCACAAAGACACACACAATCGCTGCTGCCTGATGTGTGAACTTGTGTTTTCATGCTCCATCGAAGCCGGACGATTTTATACCTCCATAGGCTTTTTTTTTTTTTTCTAAATTGCTGTATAAACGCTTTGCCTCACAGCCCCCTCTCCTTCCTCTTATCACACACATTTTCACCGAACAAAGATCTCTGCTGCTGATGCTGATGCTGCCACATAGTAGCTCCACTGCAGCAGCTCCGGGTTCACTTCCTGCCCCAAAGGCCCTTTGAGGCAGAGGCTGTTGTTCACTGGTGACCGAGCAGGTTATGGTGGGCACTGATCACCTTTTCATGATCGGAAACTGACCACTGAAGGCAAAAAAAACAAGCTGTTTGAATCCATGAGATGCTGACATTGAGGATTCTGTATTTCTTGACTTGAAAACTTTATAAATGGAACATCTTTGACAGTTGCTTAGACCAATCATGCAATCTATAGATATAACAAACGAGCCTTATCATAATTCAGTATGGATGTTTTCAATTGCAGATCAAATTCAGAATAAATAAAAACTCAGTCAAAGGTTTAAACTCCGGAGCCTTATGCCAAACCCAAATACCAACACACACAGATAACACGAGCGGATACATTATGCTCTTGTGAACAAACACATACACACAGAAATGCCCTGCCAAAAGCAGCTCAGTTCTTTTTTTTTTTTCTCTCGGTTTATCCTCGCTCATCTGTGTCCTGCTAAACACGCCGTCCCCTCTGTGTGTGTGCATGAGTGTGTACATGTGTCCTTGAGGTGGCCCACTTCTGTTTCTGCTGGAGCTGGCTCATGTGCCCTTCTTGAGGCGTTCGCTTCGTCTCACAAGAAAACTTTGTGTCCTTCTCTTTGTCTCCTCATCCACCCTCCATCTCCCCTTTTTCTTTTCGCAAACACTCAAATTGCCATCTTACCTTACTGGACTCTTTAATTCCTCTCTTTCTCCTCGCAGTGTCTCCTTTGGTCTTCTCCTCGGATTTTTCATACTGTATACTCCTCATCCCTGTTTCTTCTCTTCTCCTCCCTCTGCAACTTTTCCTCTTTGCCTCTATACCTCTGCTCTCTTTGATTCTCCCTAAGCCTCTGCCCAAACACCCCCTCCCTTTTCAGCTTACTCTAACCTCTCTCCCTTCCTCCCCTCTCTCTCGTTCAAGTGAAGTAGTCAGGAGGCATTCATGTGTGTGTGTGTGTGTGTGTGTGTGTTTGGTTTGTGCCAGCTGGATGTCTTGGGAGGAGGGAGGAAAGTGTGTGTGTGTGTGTGTGTGTGTGTGTGAAGATTAAGGGGAGATGCAGCAGCAGCAGCAGCGCAGTGTAAGCATCTTCCCAAATACACTTGAAGTCCACACGGAGGTCAGTCGAGCGCTCATGCCAAAAAACGACCAAAACACGCAAACACCCATCAACATGGCACTAATCTCCTCCCTGTGATGTCTTGATTACTGCAATTTAGTTCATGGGGAGGTATTAATGATCAGAGCAACGGACTCGGGAGTGCAGGAATTGTGAGTTTTCCTGCACAAATTAGGACAATCTATCAAATAGCTTTTTTTTTAAACAAGCGACAACATTAAAAGAATTCTACTCAAGGTCTTCAATTCAGACTTTAACCCAGTTACTGATACTTTCTTTGAAAAATGAAATCCACCTCAGTAAAAGCAGCAAAGTTAAGGCAATTTGGCTTTTCTAGAAAATAAATCGTGCTTTTCTCCGAACATTTCCCGATTGTCCTGGATTTACGAGCGCATCCCACTGACCTGCAGAGCGCTGTTGAGGAAGCAGCTGTTCTGCCCCGGCTCGTTGCTCAGGCCTTTGCTGGGCGCGATGGAGGTCATGGTTCTCGGGGTCACCAGCCCCTGCCCCCCGCCGGCCGCTCCGCAACCCGATGCAAAGTAGTTCCTCTTCCACGACATCACTACCTGGACGCTCCCGCTTCCCCGGCGAGGTGGAGAAGGGGCGGGGCAGAAGACCAGGGGGCGGCCCCTATGTCACTCCCATGAGCGGCAAAGATGGAGAATGAGAAAGGAGCGAAGGAGGAGAGAGCGGAAGGACGGAGAGAAGGGAGGAGGCAGTGGTGGACTGAGATGTGCCGTGTCTTGGTTGGAGATTTGGCACCCATACAACCCTCCCCCTCTCACGCCGTGGTTTTATTAAAAAATCTGTCCACTTGTGAGAGCCAGCGGTGGGCTTTTTTTTTGTTTTTCTGTTTTTATCTTTGTGGATTTAAACATCCGCGTTAGAAGGCATGAGAGTTTTTCCGAAGAGAATTTATGCTGATTCTGTCAAATAAAAGTGGATTAGACAGCATTGCTGCTCCCGTGTGGGGACTTCCGTGCTTTCTCCTTCTCCTCTTTCACTTTCCCTGGAAAACACAAAGAAGAATATTTTAGTTTCTAAACACCAAGTAACAACCGCCTTTTACAAACAATCATGAGTACTAAAAAAGTAACAAACACCAATGACCAACTGATGAGCTTTAAAAGACACAGCTTTATGTGTCTGAACAATATATGCCCTATGAGGGCTGCCCTGGCCCTGGCATAAAATACTCACTCTGCTCCGATTGGTGAACTCAGGTGAGATTAAGAAAACATATCTGAAGTTTTCATGAAAAACATCAGCTGATCTTAGATTTTAGTGAAAGGAACCTGTCTCAGAAATGTGGGTTAGGTAGAGGGATAGATAAAGGAGGAGAAGGCCACACTTCACCATGGACACGAGTCCTGGCAAAAACCTTTAAAACTCTCAAATACCAAATAAAAATACTGTAACAGCCTATTGACAGCCTATTCTTTGTAGAGAGAAAATATGTATTGCAAGATATCAAATTGAAATCAAGTATTTATAGTAAAAACATGTAATTCATTTGTTGGTTATGGCAAAAAGCAATTGATTTCATTGTTGCTGAGTGTTTTAGTTTGAAAACACCTTTTTAAAACAGTGACTTAGTTTGTGTTTCACTGGATCGGAAGGCAAAAGAAACCTTCTGTGACGGGCTGTTGTGTTGCAATATGAGCAGCAAGGATTTTCAAGCAGCTTTTTTTCAAACTGCAAAGAAATCTGTGATCCCTCTTTGAAGTAGATTGAGAAGAATTCTACAGGCAACAGAAAGCTGGTTTCCCACATGAAAGAAAACTGGCCAATTATGGAGTAATTACGTTTCTTAATGTGTTGAGCCGACGTGCAGTCAAACGCGCTACTTTCACAGAGGTTTCAATGAGTTGCGTTTCCTCATGTAGGCGAACTCTCCATTAGCGGGTGATCTTTATCTGCGGCCTGCGTCTGAATCATTAAGATACAAATCCTTTCGGTGTTACTAAATTTTCATTACATTTGATCAAAGACGTACATTTCACCCCCTGTATCCCTCCAACTGACGCCCGGCTTATTTGCTGCCATCCTGTGGCCTGAAATCAACTTGGAAACTCTATAAGGTCCTTTAGATTTTGCACCACAATTTGTGCAAACCGTCACATAAGAGCAGCATCAGTGAGGATGACTTTCCGTCAGCGATCTGACAACAAGAACAACTCGGAGAAATTTGTTATGTCATTTCATTAATCGGCACTCGGGGACCTTGTGTGCGTTACTATGCTCGAGCATTGAGTTTCTTATCATGTATGTGATGATTTTAAAAGGTAGTTTACATGCGTTTGTCACACCACGGCGCGTGCGAGTGGCTGTGTGTGTGTGTATGTGTGTGTGTGCGCGTGAAGTTGCATAACAACACAGGGCAGCAGCTAATAGATCCGCAGTGCCCCCATCCGCCCTCCCCTCCCTTCCTTACCTCCTTCCCTTATAGCTTCCCCACTTTTGGCAAAGCTCCCCTCGCCCAATAGCGAGGCTGCGTTAATGCCACAGCAACCCTTTGGCAAAAGGCCAGAGGGCGCAGGGATGCTGCAGCAAGCAGGTGAGAAGCGTGGGCTGTCGCTATAGCGATGGCCACATGGGAAAGGGGGAGCTGGGATGATGAGGTTGTGGAATAGAGGGAGCATAGAAACTAGAATATCAGA